TTTACCTTTTTTTTTTTATTTTTGGTCTTTTTTTTTTTTTTTTTTTTTTTTAACAATCCCTTTTACACCACTTATTTTCGTACCTCAATGGCAAGTTATAGAAGGGATTTTTCAGAGCGCTCACCATTGGTCCAAGACTATTTTGTTGGAGTCAATATGAATCAAGACCAGCTGGATATCAAGAGCCTTTGAAAATCTCTTTCTAAGTAGTTAATACGTGTATGTTTTCTTTCTCCTGGGGAGATTATTTTCACAAGTCGCTGGAGCCTGTGTGGTCCTGGTCTGCAGGCGCAGACTTCTGACCCACAGTGAGCAATGGGGGATTTGCAGCTGTGCATCTTGCCCCTGAAATCCCTGTTCTGATTGGAGTGGGGAGTATGTGCTCCTTCATCCTTCTCTGTTTTCTGTTGTTCTTCTCCTTGTCTCCCAGCATCATAACATGCTAGTCTGAAATCCTTTTGCAATAGCTTTACAAAACTGTTCCCTTTCATATAACTGAGATAAATATGCTTCCAGAAGGGCAAGGACTGTCTGGCAAGTGGCACCAAGTGATACGCAAGGAGCCTTAAAAGTAGCAGTGAGTGCCAACACCTGCTGTTACCGTCTTTGTATCTTTACATTAACCTGTCAGCTTTCTTTGACCTGCCTCCTCTTACATACTTTCTGAGATGGGCACTCTTTTCCAGCTTGGGGCTCACAGTTGTCTGTCTTGGGTTGGCCATAGGGCTTGTTAAATTATTATTTTTATAGCATCTCTTTAAAAGCACAACGTAGTGAAAAACAGCGATTGGCCACAAGAACAGAATCACAGCTTTCTACACAGTGTTCTTGCCATGTGTGAGACGAACGCTGGACATCCTTCAGCAGACAACTAATCTTACTGGCCCTTGAATCCATAGCAAGGTTGGGAGGAGATGCCTGACAGTTAGGACAGTCAACCTCGTCCGTCAATAGTAACTGAAGGAGAAAGCAATGAAGCGTGTTCAAGTTCCCTGTCCTTTTAGAAAAAGGGCATCTCAGAAAAAGTAATAACGATTGTAGATTCCCATGAAGTACTTTATAGAAGACTAAAGGATGGGGGTTGTTTTTTCCCAATCCTGGCACATGGGGACTTTGAACCTTTGTCTACATTTTCTGGTACTCGTGTTGGTGCAAGCCACAAGTTGCATTTGCTATGCTTTACAGTTGACCAGACAGGTAGTGCTCATCTCTCTGAGCTTGCTGTGATGCTGAATGATGGGAATAACTCCTGTCCCAGGCCAGCCTATGTCACAGGCCAGTCTGGTGCTGGTGGGTTGTGTGTCTGAGATACTTCGGGCTCTTTTTGGGGTTTTCTCCCTGTTGTAGGATGTAGTGTTTTCAAGCCTGCCTTGTGATTCAAAGCAGTTTTCACTTCAGTAATTCAGCCTTTTCTCCAGAAAAGGGTTATTTCCCTGTTCTCCAATACTTGGCTACAAATCTGTCCAGTGACCTAAAAGATTTCCTTTCTGATTTTTCTTTCTCCACCCTTGCAGTAAGCGTAGATTTAAACCCTCAGAGCTGTTCATCTGGGTTACTGCAGTTTTGAAGACCACAAATCCAAATTAAACAGTAAAAGGAAGATGTTCTGAGGGATGCATGCTTCGGCTTGGCAACTTTGATCAAGTGTTTGAGATACACCAGGTGACATTGAAAATGGGGTACAGAAGACTGTGGTGATAATTGTGGGAGAACCATATCTTTCCTTCCAGAAATCCTGAGATCACTGTGAAGAGGAGGAGGATCTTCCTGCAGTAGCTATTCTCAGACAGTTACAAAGGATCAGAGTTAAATGATGTGGGTAATTCTAGATTTTATGTTGCCTTCCTTTGGGTCCAGGCACGTTTCAAGTTTCAGCTTTCAAACAGAAATTCTGGGTTCCTTCATTTTTGTCTGTAGCAAAGCTTAGGTGTTCAATGAAGTTTAAATCTGGTCTTCAGCAAACTAGCATTTTTACTGCACTTTGCTGTCTTTTTTAATCCTTGAACATGTCTGCTTTGATGATTGACCTCTGCCCAAGTATTCAGATACCACGATGATGGACACTAGTGAGCCCTGGGTGATTCACTAATTCCAAGGACTGATGCTCATCTCTTTTATGCCCTTCCATAAAGGTCATGCTGATTCTTCTTTCTCCACACTATCTGCACATGCACAGCCCTCTCTTTCTGGGATTGATTCATCTTACTTGGTTTATCTTTCTATGGGTTTTCTGAGACAACGGTTGCAGCAACAAAAATACTAAAGCAACTGTGCTGCAGTTGGATGAAAATTAAAATTCAATTCCTATTTTGGAAGATCAGATTCTTGTGAAATTTTTCCAGTGCAATGAAACCCAGAGAGAAGTTTTTTAGTTCTCTGTACAGAACTTGTCACTGAAAAAATTTCTCAGTGTTTTTGAGGGTAACAGCAGGA